TCAGACTGAGATACAGAGGGGGGATTCCAGTAGGAAACATAGGCAGGGCTGACTGCAGAAGCTAGAGATAAAGTGAAAGAGGCACCCCTCTCAGGTCCCTACCACAGACTTGCAGTTGGAAGAAGCCATGACCAGACCTACAAAGAGCGGATCCAGGGTGATAGCCTTGGCAAATGGACTGCACCTACCACTCCTCTTTCTGGCCATAGGCCCAACACAGCAACCCCTCCTGCCAGAGTATGGAGTACCCATGTGCATAAAGTTAAGTTTCATTTTATGAGATGTTCTTTGATTTTATGGCACATAAAATAAAAATTAGCATGGAGATGAGGATCTCCGGGAATCTAAATTTTTTTCCTCCTTCTTATCCCACTGTGTTCTCTTGAATGCCAATATGCAAAAACAAATTTAAACAAAACTTTCAAATTCAATTTACATTTTTAAATATTTTAATCAACCTGTGATCTGAAGTTGAATGCTACTTTACTATTCTGTAAATATTCCCAGAAATACATTTCCTATTTTAAAGTAGAAAGACATAAAATGCCTAGGAGGACTTTCATTTCTGACTGTCACTCAACACTCATACAAGGTCAGCGGGATCTATGGATTACGGAAAAATTGTCTTTTGTTTTTGTCAATGTCTACTCACCTAATTCTGCTCTCTACAATAAAACACAAAGAATGAGTATTTTCTGCTTATCTTCTTTTAAAGATTTATTTTTTATTATTTTTATATTGGAAAGGCGGATATACAGAGAGGAGAGACAGAGAGGAAGATCTTCCATCCGATGATTCACTCCCCAAGTGAGCGCAACGGGCCGATACTATGCCGATCCGAAGCCAGGAGCCTCTTCCGGGTCTCCCACGTGGGTGCAGGTTCCCAAAGCTTTGGGCCGTCCTCGACTGCTTTCCCAGGCCACAGGCAGGGAGCTGGAAGGGAAGCGGGGCTGCCGGGATTAGAACCGGCGGCCATATGGGATCCCGGGCGTGCTAGGCGAGGACCTTTAACCACTTGCGCCACCGCGCCGGGCCCTGCTTATCTTCTAAGGAGCATTTTTGGTAACAGTATAGAAATCTCGAATCTCCTCCCAGAATGTCTTAGCTGGAGCCCTGCATGACACTTAAAATCACCAGATGAGTTCTCCGTTCTTGTCATCAGATAACCTCCCTTGTATGTCACTTACAGAAACAGCCAACAGGATGCAGAAAGCCTGTCCGTGTTCAGAGTCTCCTTTTTATACTAGTCAGTAATTTGAAAGCACTTTCTTCAAAGCAACCAGAGAACAGACTCTCTGTAACTCAGACAAAAGACAACAACAGAAAGCTAAGAGGGAACCTTATTCTATCTAAGGCATATTTTGATCAGGGAAACTTCACTTGGCACAGAAGAAAGAAGGAAGAGAAAATAAAAACAAGAAGGGGTCAACACAATGAATAGCACTCATTGTTGGTCTGCTCCAGAAGACAGCAAGATCTGATAGCTCTGACACTTGACTTTATAACAACATTCTAAATTTTCAAAGCTATTTCGATGTTTTATTTTTTCTAGCAAGAAGGCAGGCATGGTTGTTTCAGTTCATATTATTGTTGCTATCTCAACTACTATTCCCTGCTTAATAAAAGCCAAGGTCAAAGCAGAAGAGAATCTGGTAAAACACCAAATGCACCTCAGGGCAAGTGGCAGTTCAAAGATGTGCCCGGTCAATGTTTTTCTTTTACACTTATTAGTAGTTGGTTTCTATCAATACAATGAAAAAATTTAAGCTGAGTAACTTACAGATTAACTCACAGCTTTGAAGTTTCGATGGCATGATGCCAGCATGTGCAGCAGGGAAGGACATCACATGGTGAGCCTGGAAGCCACGGGAGAGGAAGGGCCAGACTGACTGGGGACTGATCCAACAGTTCCCTGGCTAGTTCTCTGCTGCAAGCATCTGCATCCCACATGGGTATCAGTAGTGTCCTGGCTGTTCCACTTCCCATCCAGCTCCCTGCTGGTGGCCTGGGAAAGCAGTGAAGGATGGCCCAACACCTTGGGACCCTGCACCCAAGTGGAAGACCCAGAGAAAGCTCCTGGCTCCTGGCTTTGGATTGGCTCAGCTCTGGCCACAGCAGCCACTTGGGAAGTGAATCAGCAGATGGAAGATCTTTTTTCTTTCCCTCTCAGTCTCTCCTTATTTATATATCTGCCTTTCCAATAAAAATAAATTTTTGTTAAGGCGATTGGGGAAGGCAGCAATGTGGCATATAAGTTAGGCCTCTCCTCATGGTGCCTTCCCAGTAAAAATAAATAAATATAAACAAAAAAATGAATAACTCACTCTCACTAGAATCAACTGGGAACACACAAGAACTACTTAGTTCCTTGTGAGGATAGTGCCACCAGTGACCTCCCATGAGGTTCCACTTCTTAAAGCTTCCATCACCTTAACACAGCCACACAAGGTACCACACTTCCCACACAACCTTAGGGGCACCAGCCACATCCAGATCATGGCAAACATGAGTGTCCAATTTGTCCTGGTCCCCTTAAGGGTGCTTGGCTGGGTGCTCAGGGCGATGGGAGACAGATAAGAAGTGAGCAACAAGTAGAGCTGGGCAAAATGGTGCACAGTGGGGGCAGGAACACGAGCGGTCAAGGACAGGCAAGGTCTTCACCTGGCACTGGGTCAGGCCACTAACCCCACAGCCAACTGCACAGGGGATGCTTGCACTATGAAGATGTCTCGAAGTGAGCTTTGATGAAAAATGGGAGATCCTGCAGCCATTTATGACCCCCAACCCAGATGAGGATATTCTCTTCATTGTAGAAAGTCCAGCTGGATGGCAATAGTCTACACTGTCTGAAATTATCTAGCAGTAAATTGTCATAGAGGCTCCCTCATCATCTTGGCCTTAAAGGCCATGTTGTGACTCTGAGCCAAGTCTTCAGCTGGTAAAGTAAAAGATCTGCTGGCAGGACTCCCCCAGGTAGGCCCCACCTTAGTCCATGGGACAGCACTTGCTCACAAGAGAGTAAACAACTAAAAAAAAAAATAACATCAACAGGACATTACTTCCTTTTATAGACTATATAATTAAAAGTCTTGTTAGCATCTTTAGCTCTGCTCCCTGCTATCCCTCATCCAACTCCACTTGTTCCTTATAGATCTAAGGACAATCTGCATTAATGATAGGAATAGAGGACTAACAAGGAGTTCCCCAAGGAGCAACCACTCCTGTAGCCTCTGCACTTGACCTGCCCCTGAGCCTGAAGTTTCCTACACTACGGCTGCACCTGCTTCAGGAACATGACTGTTTTCTCACAGAGATTCACGTTTGCTATTCTCACAATCAAGATGATGATTCCAAAGTTTCACTGCCCAAGTACTGAGGCCACAAATCGGTGCTTGCTAGCATAGCATTATCCCCTCCCCCGCACTAAGCCCCATATTTCTTAAACTTTTCTGAACAGAGCTTAATAATTCAACCCTCCTGTGGAATATACAGCCCTGTCCAGCTAAACCTCCCATGGAATTTCATCCACATTAAGGAAACACTTGAGCCCACCAAATTTCAGCAAATGTCAAGACACCAGAACCAACATAATGACTAGTTTGCAACATTAGCATGGAGGCTACAGTCGGAATGAACCAGGAAGAACCAGAAATATTATATAGATAATTCAGAAAAAAAACTTGATTAAGAAAACAAGGTCAAGCCAAAGCATGAAGCATTACAGGGGAAAAAAAACAAAACACACAGATGAGGGCTCTAGGAACCAAGAAGGGCACCAATGTGAGGAGCACAGGACGCTGCAGTACAGGATGCCCAGGGTCATATGCCCATAGTGCTACTGTCAAGTCTGGTGGCCACACTGTCCTTAGAGCATCATGACTGACATTTGGTCCTACATACATAATCAATGAAACCAGAAGCTGCCTTCTCTTTGTTCTCCTCTCATTCCATTTTCTCATGAACCACCATTGTTGATTCCCTCCAAAAGCAAACAGCACAAATTTCCAACCCAGACCTAGCTTACACTGCAAGCTCACCTACCTGGAATATGTGAAAAACCAAACAAGAAAAGACAAGCCCAGAGATCTATAATCAACACAATGGTGTGAAAGTTCATGCATTCTACTCATAAGTCTTTAGTTCAGAATTTATCAATCTTATTTTATACCTGTAGTAAAAAGCTTAAGTATCTGGTTTAATGGTCCAAAGCAAATAAGAAAACGCAAGAGGAGACCCACAATTATAAAAAGTAAATATAAGACCAACAACAAAACACAATCTGTAGCTACTGAGTATAATTCTACAGGGCTCCAATTTGTAACAGCAGGTTCTGGTAGTCACTGTACAAATAATTCAATTATGACCAATTTTCTCTGCTGAAGCCACATTCTTCCAGCCCACGCCCCATTTCCCAACCCCCACACACATTTCCTCTTCAAGCCCTCACCATCTGGACTTTTGGGCTCTTCACCAAACCTAGCTTTGCCTAAGCCCCAGAAAGGAATGGAGCATTCCACAGTGGCTGTCACTGACTTGCTCAATCCCTGAGCCAATCCTGCTGCCCCAGAGCTCCGTCCTATACAACCGTGAGCCCTGCTGGTCTCTAGGGGCTCAAGCAGGTGCAGTCACATCTCACTGCACAGATGCCATGACCTTCTTCCACCTGGTCCCAGAGGACGAGATCATCCAAATGCACCCCTCAAGCTCCTCACGTTGAGACAGTGGGGGGCTGACTAGCCCCTGCTGCCTTCCTTGTGATCCCTCAGGGGTGGCTGAAGAGCTCAAACATTAGCCGTGGGTCAACACACATCAGTAGGCACAAGGTACCTGTGCTTGTCCAGAGTACTAAGCTGAGATGGCACACAGTACTCGAGATCATTTCAGCCAATTTTACTAGATAAAGGTAAACTGCCTTTTTTACACACATGTGTCTCTTAGTTAATTTTCTATAACAAGATACTAGAAGCTAAGTCATTAATCAAGAAAATACGTTGGCTCACCATTCTGTAAGAACATGGTGCTGGCTGGCATCTTCTCGGCTTCACTGAGGGCATCATGTTGCTCCCTGCAAGGCAGAAAAGCAGAAGGATAAGTAGGCATGTGAGGAAGAAGCAGGAGGGCAAGACAGAAAGCCAGAAGGGCCGAGGAACCCCAATTGGCTTTTTCACAACCACCTGCTCTCTGATAAGGAATCCAGCCTCAAGGTAACAACATCCATCTCTTCATGAGGTCATCTCTCTGGTCCCCCAGCACCTTTGAAAGGCCCCTCCACTTCTCAACAGTTACATTAGGGACCAAGCCTCAATGAGAGTTTTGATGGGGACAAATCATACACATACCCTAGCAGTGTGGGCAAAGAACTCTGCACTCACAAAGGGTATTGTAGCATCCCCAAGACACAAGTGGCTCCCACATCACACTGAGGCTTCCAGGGCTAATGGAGGGTGTGACTGTGTAACCTGGAGAAAGTGGAGTTCAGAAGGAATCTGCCAAGAACTAAAAAACCTAGGAACAAAGCAGACTGGACTGATCCCACAGGAAAGGAGTAAAGCACTTGGTTCGCTCTCCTCCTGCCCTGCACTGTCCTGGGAGGCCCCTCGATGTAGACCATACACGTCAGCTGCCCAGGGCACACACAGTACCAGGAGAGGGGATGACAAGCAACATGATACCTCTGCCCTTCCTAGCTGAGAAGGAGTCACCCACATGGTCCTAGATAATGTGTGCCCAGGGAGTTGGTGATGTGGCCTACGAGGAAGCAAGACTACACCATGCTCTACAGAATTTTACACCTGGGCATTTAAGGCCTTACCACAAACTCTAAGCAACATAAGTCTTTGTAGCCATGTTCTCATCCTCTGGCACTGACTACAGCTCCTCCTGCCCTCACAGGCTCTCTGGCTGACTACCCACTCAAAAACAGAGCCAGCAGAATATTTTTAGAAATATATCAATGGGGTCCAGCGCAGTGGCGCAAGTGGTTAAGGTCCTCGCCTTGCACACCCGGGATCCCATATGGGTGCCAGTTCTATCCCGGCAGCCCCTCTTCCCTTCCAGCTCCCTGCCTGTGGCCCGGGAAAGCAGTTGAGGACGGCCCAAAGCTTTGGGACCCTGCACCCACATGGGAGACCCAGAAGAGGCTCCTGGCTTCGGACCGGCATAGCATCAGCCGTTGCGCTCACTTGGGGAGTGAACCATCGGATGGAAGATCTTCCTCTCTGTCTCTCCTCTCTGTATATCCGCCTCTCCAATAAAAAAATAATATAAATAAATCTTTTAAAAAAAAAAAAGGGAGGGCCCGGAGCGGTGGCGCAGTGGTTAAGGTCCTCTCCTTGCACGCCCTGGATCCCATATGGGCGCCGGTTCTATCCCGGCAGCCCCGCTTCCCTTCCAGCTCCCTGCCTGTGGCCCGGGAAAGCAGTCAAGGACGGCCCAAAGCTTTGGGACCCTGCACCCATGTGGGAGACCCAGAAGAGGCTCCTGGCTTCAGACCGGCATAGCATCGGCCATTGTGCTCACTTGGGGAGTGAATCATCGGATGGAAGATCTACCTCTCTGTCTCTCCTCTCTGTATATCTGCCTTTCCAATAAAAAAATAATAAAAATAAATCTTTAAAAAAAAAAAGAAATATATCAATGAAGGCCTGGCACAGTAGCCTACTGGCTGAAGTCCTCACCTTGCACACCCAAGATCCCATATAGATAGATGCCAGTTCTAATTCCAGCTGTTCCACTTCCCATCCAGTTCCCTGACTGTGGCCCTGGGAAAGCAGTTGAGGGTGGCCCAAAGCCTTGAGACCCTGCACCCAAGTAGGAGACCTGGAAGAAGCTCCTGGCTCCTGGCTTTAGATCGGCTCAGCTCTGGCCATTGCAGCCACTTGGGGAGTGAAACAGTAGATGGAAGAGCTTTCTTTCTGTATCTATCAGTGTCTTCTCCTTGGGAAAACAGGCACAATTCCTTAGCAGGGGATGTCAAAAAGTCCATGCAATATGAAACCAAAGTAGAAACTGTATTTGTCAACCTAAGCACCACCCAGTTCAGTACACAGCTGTAAGGATCCCAAACTTCTAGTCCATCCCTAAAGACCTGAGGGTCCTGAGAATTTCATATCAATGCTCTTTCTCACATGAATTGGAAAAAAAAAGTGTGTCCTTGAAAGCTCTTTTTAAGATTAAGACAGAAAAAGAAGTCACAATGCACCACATAGTGGATGACGGATCATTTCTCATGGGAACCCTCATGAAAGGCTCTCACTTGATGAGAAGAATGAGCAAAAGTGCCACTGTGACGAGGAAGACGCTGATGAAGCTTTTCCAGGTGTTTCCTGGTAGAGCTCTGGCTGACTTTCTCAAAACATTCTCTTTACAAGCAGAGGGGATCATTCTTTGGCCTTCCAAAAAGTCAGCAAACAAAATGCCCTGAACCATTCTAAAAGCCCATCGCCATGGCCCCTGCTCCTGATGGGTCCACTCTCGCTGTGACTGAATTACCTCCACCTCTTGATAGCCACTGCTTTCGTTGCTCCCCATCTTCAGAATCCTACTGGTGAAGTCAGCTTCATCTCCTGTAAGTCTTCAAGGAAATGCCTTTGGTACATGACCCCACTTGCTTACAATGTCTACTGAAAGCCCCACTCCTGTCTGCAGTTGGTCTGGGAACAACAGTTTTGCCCAAAGAACAGAAACTCAGTTTCTCTTTAACTTTCTATACAGAATGGTGTTCTGGACCAACTGAGATTTCTGTGGTACAACCTATTGTTTTTGGTGTTAATTACTTTGAAATAGAACACACACATTGATTTCTTTTCTCTTGCAAACTAATGTAAACAGTCTCTATCAAGTAAATAAAAATAAATAAAATTCTAATAATAAATAATAAATAAATTCTAATACCACTTCAGTATCTTTTACATTTAGCCGGGTGTAAGCAAGACAAGCTTATACAAGAATTCATAATGACAAAAAAAGAAAGGGTAGATGAAGTAGGGGAACAGGATGAGAATAAAATTTGCTTTTACTTGTATATCTTCCTTTAAGATTTATTTTTTTTTTTTTAGAAAGACAGATTTACAGAGAGGAAGAGAGACCAGAGATACATTTCTGACATCCACTGGTTCACTCCCCTTAAACGGCCTCAACAGCCAGAGCTAAGCCAGCAGCCTCTTCCAGCTCTCCTATGCTGGTGCTGAGTGCTAAGTGCTTGGACCATCTTCCACTGCTTTCCCAAACATAAGCAAGGAAGTGGTTGGGAAGTAGAGCAGCCAAGACATAAACCAGAGCCATTATGGAATGTCAGCGCTGGTAGATCAAACATTAGTCAACTGAGCCATTGCTTGAATCCTACTGTTTATCTTTTTTTTAGTCTTTTATTTAAAAGATTTATATATTTTTTATTGAAAAGTCAGATCCACAGAGAGAAGGGGAGAGAGACAAAGCTCTTCTATCTGCTGGATCACTCCCCAAGTGGCCACAACCACCAGAGCTGAGCCATTCCGAAGCCAGGAGCCAGGAGTGTCTTCCAGGTCTTCCCCATGGGTGCAGGGTCCCAAGTCCTTCTGTTATCCTCAACTGCTTTCCCAGGCACAGGCAGTGAGCTGGAAGGGAAATAGAACAGCCAGGACACCAATCTGTGTCCACATGGTATCCCATTGCATGCAAGGTAAGGACTTTAGCCATTAGGCTACCGTGCTGGGCCTTTAACTTTTTTTAAATTTCATTTTCAATGAAATTTTTTTAATAACTCTTTAAAAAAAATATTGGGCCTGGCACAGTAGCCTACTGACTGAAGCCCTGGCCTTGCACACCCAAGATCTCATATAGTCACTGGTTCTAATCCCAGCTGCTCCACTTCCCATTCTTGCTTGTGGCCTGGGAAAACAATCGAGGACAGCCCAAAGCCTTGGTTCCCTGTACCCACATGGGAGACCCAGAAGCAGCTCCTGGATCCTGGCTTCAGATTGGCTCAGCTCCAGCCACTGCAGCCACTTGGGGAGTGAACCATTGGACAGATTTTCCTTTCTGTCTCTCCTCCTCTCTGTATATCTGACTCTACAATAAGAATAAATAAATCCTTAAAAAAAAAAAAGGTTTGATTTTTTTTATTGGCAAGGCAGATTTACAAGGAGGAGAGACAAAAGATCTTCTAGTGGCTAAATCACTAGTGTATATCACTAGTGTGTATCTTCTTTTAAAAAAAGATTTACTTATTTATTTGAAAAGCAGAGTTGCACAAAAGACAGAGACCTCCCATCCACTGATTCACTTCCCCGAGAGCCTCAGTAGCAGGTTTAGGCCAGGTTGGAGCCAGGGACTTCATTCAGGTCTCCAGCATTAGTGCAGAGAACCAGGATTTGGGTCTTCTTCAACTGCTCTCCCAGATAAACAAGCAAGGTGCCTAGGCTGGAGCAGAGGCATAGCACACTAATACTCTACCAGTGACGCCAGCATCCAGGTATGGGCACCAGTTCTAGTCCTGGATCCTCTACTTCCGATGAAGCTTCCTGCCAGTGGCCTGGAAAAGCCATGGAGGATGGTCCAAGGCCTTGGACCACTGAACCAAGTGGGAGGCCTAGAAGTTCCTTGCTTTCAGCTTCAGATCAACCCACTGCAGCTATCCGCAGATTAAACTGGCAGATGGAAGATCGCTTTCTCTCTCTCTTTCAAATTAAAAAAAAAAAAAAATTTTTTTTTTTTAGGCGGGAAGGAGGGAAGAGAGAACCAGTGTGATGGCTCAGCTGGCTAATCCCATAAGGGTGCCAGGTCACTTCCTGAGACTGTTCCATTTCCCATCCAGCTCCCTGCTTGTGTCCTGGGAAACCAGCCCAGCTCCAGCCACTGCAGCCATCTGGGGAGTAAACCAACAGACTGAAGCTCTCTCTCTCCTACCTCTGAAAATCTGCCTTTCAAACCAAAATAATAAATCTTAAAAAAAAAAAAGATGTGGGACAGCAGGGACTCAGCATAGCTTAACCTACCACGTTACAACACCAGCCCTGTATAGCCTTTCAAAAAATTGTTTTTATACTGTAATTTATCACTTTGAAAACTACACATAAAACTGTGACA